GATACTAGATACCTTTTTGAAAATTAAACTTTTCTATAAAATAAAAGGTAAAAAATTCTACTGTTGTCTGATAGAGCTGAATGTAGTTTTTTGAGGCATTCAGGAGTTATATGACCAGACTGCACTTGTAAGAAAAGGACACTGTCTTTACCACTTCAAACTCCATCTCAGTATTTTATGCAAATGAACTATTTTTCAGAAGTACTGATCATCCACACACACAACTAAAAGAGTAAGATGCACATTTTGTGAATTTGAAAACTGTTCACAGAGTTTTCTTGATCATACAACAGTAAAATAATCAGGAATGGCTACAAAATACAATAAGCCTTCTTTGAGGACTGTAGTGAGCGAGCATGTTGCAGACCAGTGTTTTTAATCTTATTTGGCTGTGAGGTGCCTTAGGACATTTCAAACATTTCTATAACTGCATTTATTGCCTATTTTGAGGGCTTACTTTTCAAAGCATCATGCTAGCAAATGTTTAAAATTCCTTTTTAAGAAATTTTTTGAGCTTAATAATGCATTGTTGAGAAATTCATTTAATGCACATAGGAAACAAAAGCAGAAAATGAAAACGTACCCTATATTACTTAAACTATATAACTTAAACTTTTCAAAACACAGCTAGGCAAAGCTATAGTAAAAGAAAATAGAAATGCACCTTCAGTATCCATAAAAATGAGACATCTGAATTTATATGAGTTTCCTGTCTGATTAAAATAACGCATACAAAATTAAAAACATAAATATTAATTTTATGTATCACATAAGATGAAGAAAATGAAAGAATAATGTTTACATTTATGGTTGACTCATTAGTGTTTTATTATGTGAAACACTAGGAGGCATCAGTTGGGTAAAAAAAGAGTTATTTTGAAATATTATATGAAATTATCATAGAATTTATCAGTTTTCTATTTTCATACTTCTAAATGTTAAGGCTGTACATTTAAACTAAATTATGCAAATAGGAAAAAACTATTCTCACTGATAAATGACATATTTAATAATACAGGGGCAGCATTTAATTTCTTGGCTATTTTCAAATCAGACACACATGCAACACAAATAATAGTTTTTAAACCCATTATATTTTAAAAAATAAGAGAATAAAATAAGATTCTTTAGTTGTTGTTCAATATTATAATTTTTGATAAATCTTTGAAGCCTTGACACATTTTAGGCACACTCCTCTGCTCGTAAGCTCTTAATATGGTTAAATGCAGTGAATTTGGTATAGTTCTAGGCACTTTTTAGAGCCTAGTCACTTTTAGTAACTTTAAATTGTGATTACAGGAAAATATCTAGACAAATATCTTTTTTAAAAAATCCAAGAACAATAATCTACCACATTTTAATTGTATTTCTCCAAAGTGGTGTATTAAGAAGTTTTTATAAAATTTGTGTAACAATGCTACAAGTGGCTGTACTTTCACTATAAAGTCATACAAATCCAGTAATGTCAAAATTGAGTTTTCCTTGATTTGAATTACATTTAACAATGACTAAGCAACAGAGTTCTAGTTGTCTCATACAATAATCACTTAAAAGTGAAGTGTGTCTTGCTATGCCACAGCAATCAGCTTTTATTGCTGTCCAATCAAAATGACATGTGAACCGCCTAATCCTTCTTTTGTAAGGCACATAAGACTTTGTTGTCACAGTTGGTTTTGTGAATCGCCCCTATAAGCTGGTCTGATTTCCTAAAGATGACAGATCTCAGTGAATAGACAACCTCTCCTGCACTGCAGTCAATGAGACGGTGGCATTAAAGTGGAGGGCTGAAGACACTAGCTTTTAATCACCTGTCCATATGTATCATTGATCATCAGTTCTAAGAAAATGACCTTAAAGCTGGTCAGAGGACTCAAGTAATTACTTCTAAAAATAGTTTAAAAATTCAGTTTTTCAATTTTTCACTTGCACCATCAGTGTTTGCTGACCAAAGTTCTTCTGAATCCATCTTGCTTCTGAAGCAGGATCCAAAATTCTATTTTCATCCTTTTCAAATATCAGAATTCTAACTCTGTTTGTTAAGCTTAAAATTTTCTAGCTTTCAGAATTAAATGTATTATTTTAAAAATATTTTGTACCTAAATCATTACAGAGCATAAATGAGGATAAAGCAAAATCTTCTGCTGATATCAAATAGCAAAATTAAAAAACATAAAATGTATAAAAAATGTAAGTGTTTTGGCTATGATTTAGGATGCTGAAGCAAGGACTATAAATTCTTGGAAATTATATAACTGCTTATGTAGATTCATCTCCATCATCAGTGTTTTCAAAAAAATGCCAATACACCTTACTTGATATTTGGAAAAATTATCACACAATTTTGAATAATTATATCAAACAGATAAAAATGGACCTTGATATATCAAACACCAAGCATTTTTTCTTTCAAGAGCATAGTAACAATTAATGACTTCTTCTTTAATGAAATGTAGAAATAACTTCAGCTGTCTCTGAAAATGAACTAGACTATCCTGATGAACAATAAATTAATCGGTTCTAGAGAAAAGTACAATTAAAAGAAATTAAGTTGGCAAAATATTCTATTCACAACTCCTGCTCAGTTCCTAAGTTTCTATATAATTACTTTTATCTACTGAATAATGAGTTACCAAAATATTTCTTAAGCAAACTTTTGTGAAAAGCTTCAGGAAACTTCATTTCTCTTTGTCTGTAACATTATAGGCATTTTTTTAAAAAAGAACCATTTAAGAAAGGTACATCTGGTTTTAAATATACATTTTGCAGGTAGATGAAATGTCTAAAAAAAGGAAAAAAATCTGGATCCCATATTGGAAGAAAATTCACAGTAAGAAATTATTTGAATTAATTTTCTTATTATGGTCCAAAACTAGAAATTTGGGAACATAACTGTAAAAGACTTAATCTCCCACACTATTCATCATTTAGTACCAATTTTAATAAGGCTCCTAAACTTACATTTCCTTTTTTCTTGGTCAAATAATCTTAAAAGGATGCAGACAGTATCTGATCCCTGCATTCTTTTATAGGACATTGAAAGTGACATTCTTTACATCTCTGTCCTATGAAAGCTTTAGGACAGGCAAGAGGTTTAGTCTCTTTGGATCCTGATCCTGTAAATTGTTATCCCTGTGACTTGCTCATTTTCTTACAAGTACTCTCAACATTGACAGTGGGACTACTTGTGTAAGAACTCCTCGCATTAAAGAGTCTTTCCATGTTCAGGTCCCAGAGCTACCTTCTCATACTATGTAGAGCATATTAGCATAAATATATATGAACAGTGAATTTTTAAAATAAAAGTACATGTGCAACCAGGAACATAGACACCTCGGATTAGGGGCCATTGTCTTAAGTTGTTTTTCAAGCAATTTTTCTATTACTTCCAAAAGGACAGGCTTGTGGACAGATATTTCAGCATAGGCTCATTATGAATTATGTACTCATTAACACAGAAGGAATAATATAATGGATATTTTAGGAAAACTAATAAAGTAAGAAAGTTTTGTGTGTTTTCAACTTGAAGTAAGGTACTTGAAATCCTGTAATAAATACAGTTCACAAAATAACAAATGCCCAGAGAAACCATATGAATTATCATTTGCACTGAAGATTAGTATGTGTTGGAGTAGTGAATCACAGGTGGTGCTATTTCCTTGCCCTGCCAAAGCATCTAGGGATTAGTTATTATACTCCATATAAACATCTTTACTCTTCAAACCCAATAGCAGGAAAGTGACAATGAAAGAAATCTAGTCTTCTAAATGAGAAGTTGCTTCTAAAATAGTTTGTTTGTCATTCATCTTACAGTTATTTTAAAGTAAAGATATGAAACTAGGACGTATGCCATTAAGGTGATTGTCAGATATGTGCAAGGAAAATTTTGTGTCAAAGCTATTATTTTCTGATCATCAGCAAAGTACTGGTAAAGTGCCTTTCTCTGTTTAATTCTCTTAAACCTTTAGTCTTAAATTGTCTATTACAGTATTTATTTAAGTATGTAGCTATTTGGTAATAATAATCATTACACACAATAAAGAAAATAGAACTTTTCTATAAAAGACAATGCTTAGATACCCACAATGATTCATTAAATTTTGTTTTGCGCCATGCTGCATTGCTTTTTTTTAAAATTATTATTATTTTTAGTAGTAGTAGCATGGAAATAGGATTATTAACTTGTTTTTTATACTTGTTTTGTTTTTCAGGCTGACAAGAGGTCACACTAAGTTTTATGGGAAATAATAAGTATTCTAATTACATAATGCAACAATAATCTTACAAGTCGCTCATTCACGTTAAACTTTTTCTTAGCCTGTAAGTGACTGTACTGCAATTATGCCAGCTAGTTCTGTAATTCTGATTAGCTCCTTTGTGTAAAAAAATTTAAAGATTACTCAAAGTACTGTGTAAAGACCAAAGCATACTGTTCCAAAATTGGCTTGCAGACCATCACTTAAGTTCCCACATAAATGCAAGGGCTCTTTTCATCTCAAACATAAGTAATTAAGATGAAAGATGTACAAAGTTGAACGCTTGCAAGCATGCACTACTTAAACTCAAGACTGAAGAGCCTGTGATACAGCTAAGTTTAAGAGCATTTCACTGAAACTAGATTGTTTCCCTAGTCTGATAAATCACAGTGCAAGCACTACAAGGTCATAGCTTTTAAATCAACTAAGAGCCATCTAAATCAAATAAACTTCCAATACTTTATAATATCAAGCACATAAATTATGTAAACTAACTTCATCGAAGTTTAAACACTTATGACACTGATAGAGACAAGTTTGCCATAATTTACTAGAGATTTAACTCGTTTTTTAGCAAGCTACTTTTAAGCAACTGCGCAGTTACACACTAAAAGTCTGCAAGCAACCTCAATCTCAGTTTACATAAAATGACTGATACATTATTCAAACGCGATAGAAAATGTACCTCGGGCTTTTGTACCATGCCCACCACATTTTATTCTGACGTTGAATTTCACATGTACTTACATTGTAAACAGTTAGCTGTTTGGCTGATCAGACTAGTCCTTCAGATATTTTCCTTTCATAGGAAAAAGAAAAAATCCCTTTACTTCTTCCAGTCTTAAATATTCACCACCTGGTTCAACATGCAGCCGCCTTGAATCACACACACAACCTTCAAAGTCAATCCAATAAGCAGCCAGAAGATGCCTGGAGAGAGTGTGTGTGTGTGTGTGTGTGTGTGTGTGTGCGTGTGCGTGTGCGTATGTGTGTGTGCGTGGTGCGCGTGTGTGCGCGTGTGTGCTGCGTGGAGGAGGAGAAAGTGGCTGAGCTGCTGGTCGGATTAAAAGTAACCGGACTCGTCCTGAGATCGTCCAGGAAGGAAGTGGCAGCAGGCGAATGGGAAAAGGCGAATAGCTCACAGCCTCTGTAACATCGCGGAGGGGAAGGGGGAGGCGAGAAAGGGATTCAAACCATACTCCTGATGAGGTGTCCTTTTCTACTTCTCTCTCTTCCTCCTTTTTCTTCTTTTTATCGTGTCTCTATTTCTCTACCTCTCCCACAATCCCAAACGAATGACTCTCTCTTCCCGAGCTGAAGAAATAATCAGTTTCAGTCTCGCAAAAAAGGGGCGGGATCAGATCTCGAAAGCGTTTTAATAAAACAAACATAGAGCAGCAGCAGCAGCGGCAGCAGTTCCTTGCCCCTCTAGTCTAAACTAGATTGATAAATTGCTCCACTACACTACTTTAATTATGTATATGGTATGCAGAATAAATCACTGAACATCAGCACCTCAATCAAGCACTTTTAAAATGATAATTGCATCTTGGGTGAATCAATCTTTCCATTCCTGACATTTTGCTAATTTTAGTTTTACGGTGGGGGCAATGGCATATGCCACACGCAAACCTAATGACATCCTTTATCACACAAAGCGAAGACAAGGCGGCGAGCCGCTGAGTGTTTTCCCCCTCTTGGCGGGGTACCACAGCGTGCAGGAGGGCTGCGAACCTGGGAGGCGGGCATTGCCCGCGGCAGCGCATCTGGGGCCAGTCAGCGCGGCCGGTCAGGTCCCGGCTGTGGGGAAGTAACCAAGCTCACCGCACCCGGGGACCTGAGGAGCCCAGGGTTCGGAACGCCCCTGCGTGTCGCATCCCCAGCACCCCCGAGGCGGTACCTTCAGAGTGGCTTCACCTAGGTCTGGAAGGGGCGGGCGCCGAGAGGGGGCAGCCGGCCCACGGCGTCCAGTGCGACCCAGAGGGCGCCTACCCCTGCGCCGCCTCCGGAGCGCAGTAGGGCTGCGGTCCTCCGGCACTTGCCCCCGCCCCCGAGACCTCCTGCCCATCCCTTTGGCAGGGTTCCCCTTGCCAAGACCGGCGCCTGCTGAGCAGCCCAACTTTCCCAACTCATCTGGCTCCGCGTCCCGCGACAATGGGGAACTGCTCCTGCGCAGCGCCGGCTCAGCGGTGCTTTCCCCGCGATCAGCAGCGGCCAGATCCGGGCCCGCTCGCCTCCTCGAGCATGTCCCGGCCACGGGAAGCTGCCGGAGACGGTCTCGTGTCAGTCTCACCCGCAGATATGCAGCATTGAGAGCACGCTGTGTGTGGACAGGGCTTTATTTATTTTTTTTTTTTAATAGGTTCAGTCGCTTCTAAAACTGGACTGAAAGGACTGCACTGTTAGTTTGAATCCAGATTAAGCACATGCAGTGATTTGAGTAAAACTGGATCTTGCACATACTTTTAAAATTTTTGTGCCAATAGCCAACTTTTATGATCCTTTGGGAGGAGCAGGGGAGTTTGTAAAGAGTATTATTTGTATGATAGATTAAGGCACTGGAACAGCACAAAACCAAATGACTTATTCAAACACAGAGATAAATATCTATTTGGGTTATTTTAATACAAGTCCTTGGTCTCACAGTCTTTTCCCCTAGAAATATCTCATTGGGCCACTGACCTACTTCCAAAGTATTCGACAGTGAATAAATACCTTTTCAGTTCAACTGTACCCTTTAAAACATGGATGCTCAAAGAGCAGTCAGAGCAAAACAAAGCTCAGGTAGTTCTAACAGGCACCCTGCAATTGCTCACAATGCAAACCCTTAGAGAATACTGAAGGTCTCATCAGCGTCATGGTCTGTCTGGGTGAGAGTGCACCACTCTCCGTGCAGTGACATGCTACAAATGTACCCACACCAATAATGACAGTGATGCTGATGTGCTCAGAGCTACCAGGCAATCAGATACAAGTGAAGCACATTGTACACGGTGGTAACAGGCACATATGCACAGCAGTGTTAGCACAGCCTGAAAAACACTGGGAAATAAATACTTTCTCAGCTTCAGGTCTGCTGTGAAGCACAGCAGGAATGAAATACATTACAGTTTTTACATAACAAGAACAGTTACACAGGTTGTACCCTTGCTATGCCTCTTCCATAGACAATTTTGGTCTCCCAGTGTGGCACCCAACTATCCAGTAATATTTGTATATTCTTAGTGGCAAAAAATAGAAAATTATGTTAAGACTTGACACGTTTGTGCTCTAACTGAAAATGACTGTCATCTGCTTTATTTTATGCAGGATGTGTAAGTTTTCTGGTGTCTGGTAGTTGATAACACAGCCCTTCAACTGGCAAGACAGAACGTGAGCACTGTCATATTTTGAAAGTAGTTATTACAGTAAGAAAATATTTCAGAAAATAAAAGGATATAGCAGTTTAGAACTTCAACTACACCTCCATGTGGGCACTTGTGGTCTAATCTTTTTATAGTGCTGACCTTCACATACTGGAGCACCTTAAAGCCATGCCAAGTTTTAGTCACAAGCACAATTAATCAAATCTGTGTAAAGGACATCTTGATTTTTACAACAGGATTCAGATGCCAGATGGACAGACAGATATAAGGGGAGGGATCAGGATTTGTCACTTGTTTCAGATTTAGACAAGGCATGAACTTATGCAGCATAATTTGAAGTGTTTGGGTGTTTTTGTTTCCCTCTCTTTGGATTTAATTTAAAAACCTGAAATAATTTCAAACAGTAAAAAACCCTTTGTGCTGATGTCTGTACATGTACTGAATCTCCACAAATGCACCCTTTTCAAATTTCTGGCACAAGAAATTTCTGTGGACAGCTTTTCTGCTGTCCACTGTCCATATATAGATCTGCTGACAATTTTTTCCCCCAATCTACCACCTGAGGCATGCTGTGTCTTAAACCATGAGACATTGGTCATAATGTAATAAGTATAAAATCAGCTCTCCAAAGGTTTATTAAAAAGTGCATCCAAGTATCTCTTTACAAGTGTGATTACTTCAAGGTAACATTTCCTTTGAAGATGATTATCAAAGTATATTTTTGTTCTTTTGTGGATGCAGATCATATTTTTCTATTAGGAGAAATGAGATAGCCATCCTTTAATAGTATTTAAAGGGAAAAGCAGTGAAGTTACTATGAAATTACCCACCTCCTTTGTGTTTTAACTCCGGGCTAGCTTGGTTTCTATTTTCGGTTTAAATTTCTGCTAAAACCCATTCCACTCTACACCTTGCTTTCTTCCACCACCTCCTTATTTATAAGAGCAACACAGTATAACCCTTCTTCCCATGTCTGGCTGCTTTTAAACTTGGCCCACGCTGGGTGCAGCTCTTGAAGAGAGCTTTATGAAATTATTTTAAAGTGAGCTGGGGTGGTTGCCACAGCAACCCACCCTGAGAGAAATCGAGGCTATAGATTAATCCACCCCACAAGATTATTCAACTGTAGTGTATTTGTTCTTCATTCATTCAGAATATTCCCTCAAACCATATGCTTTTATAATGAACAAAAACATACAAACTCAGATAATTTCAAAGATAGCAGGGTTGTATTCCAGGAGCACAGATTAATTGCTTTGTAAACCTCTGCTATGAGATGACATGTACTTGATTCCTTGCAAAATTTTTTGATTGAAAATATCTGCAAGGTATGCATTTTATTTATTAACTTAAAATAAATGGCATGCCATTACAAAAATGGTGTTATCACCACACACATCATGCAACAATTACAGAAAGCCTTTGTCACAGCTGTACCTATATATATGTAACACAGTAGAGTTTTGCTCTCCAGGTTTTGCTTTGAACAAAAATCTAAAAATAATAAATAGTTTTTGGTGGTATTAAATGTAAAAAATATTAAACACTCACCACATACACCCTCTTTATTGTCAAAATCATCCGCCTCCAATGCTTTACTTAATCTTTCCCATGGTAGTTACTTCACAGTTTACAATTCGTGTTCGGCACCTTGGATGTTTAAAAGCACAAAAGTAACATATTATTAAAATTCAAACCCTCAATATATTTTAGGAGATTAATGAAGTAATTTCTATAAAAAGAATATGAATCTTTACTGATGTGCACTTAGGCCTATCTTACTTGTAAGTAGCTTGACGTTTTCCAAAGCTGTTTTAAACTCCATCTAAATCCTACCTTAGGGATGATATACTATCAGTAAAATTACAAAACTATTGATTGTAGGCTGTACTTATCCTCCAGTTGGTATTGATACTTTCACATGCATTTTGGAAAACACAGCCATCTCATTGTTTAATAAATGCCTCTTTAAAAGGCAAGAGTGAATTATAAAGTGGTAAAATTTGGCATATTCATTTTGTTCCTTCCATAAAGGACCAGGTATGTATCTGCACAGGTATGTGTAGTGCTGACTCCAGACATGCATCTCCTTGGGTCTCCTTTGAGGAAGGCAACCAGGTAGCACCCACAGAACTTTTTTTTACCCCAAATATTCATTTTTCTCTGCACATGTAGTTGTGGAGAGGGAGTCCCAACCGGAACGACTTGGTTTTGAGGGGCAACCTTTCTGGCCTCTCCCCCAACTCTGTGCACCAGCACACATCATTACCCGGGCTTCTCATCATTTATTTATTGACTTGTAATTTCTACGTGCTGGGCTGTTCCTCCGGTGATGTGATCGGGAGACACAGCAGGATATGGTACGACACTGGTCTCTGGCCCCATCTCTTCCTGCTCCGCGCATCTGGCGGCGCCGGGCGGGGCAGCGAGTGCCAGGGGGTCCCGAGTCGCCGCGGCGCTGCCGGTGCTACGGCCGCCGCCCTTTCCTCGTCCCCGTTCTGACAGGAAGACGCTGGGGCGGTGCGGAGGCGGTGTAAAGCCGGCCGGGCGCCGACTGACGCCAGAGCGTGTGGTCCCGGCGAGTGCGGGCGGCGGGAGCAGCGGCTGTTCTACTGCAGCTATGGCTGTGTGGAACTGGCCGGGAATAGCAAAGGGTTGGGAAATCCTGACCAAAGGCCGGCTCTGAGGAGGCTGGAAGAACCCTGCCCCGCGTCCCCTGGCAAAACTGCCCTCATCGGGCCCCTCCGGAGC